TCGTGAAAACTCGACGATAAGGTACCTGACCGCCCCTAAAATTTTCTCAACGGATTTAGACGATTCACAAAAATGATCAATTTAAGAAATAAAACGGCGGATTTCCGCGGATCCGCGGAAAATTGCCATGTATGAAATACGGACGAGGATGACTATTATATGTGCGGTTGAACGACTTCAAGGAAAAGCCAAGTCACGAATTTTCTTGACAGTTGTATGTTCTATGCGGCCCCTCTAGTCTAGACCTGACATTCGCTTTAGAATTGTGTTTGTGGAATATGAATTAAGCAGCAAAATCCACCCGTTTCCCCACCCCCCTCCCCATCTCAGGGCGCGGCCATTTTGCCACTTGCTGTCGACTGAAAATGACATCAAGTGGATGAGGGCTCATGTATCGACCAATCACGGTGATGCATTGTACCAACCCTGCAGTTGTGTTCACGTGGACTCTTGCTAGAGTTCTATCGATTCCGGCTGTCTTGTGAGGCTGTGAAGGTGCTCTGTGATTTGTGATTGGATGAATAAGTCGAGGGGAGGAGGCACGTGGAAGGACGAAGATGTGTGTCTGCGTGTGGTCATGGCGAATGTTTTTATGGGTGTGCTACAGCAAACACTAACCGCTCATTTTCAGGCGCATCTAAGCAGATGCGCCCGAATATTCTTTGTCTTTTACAATGAAAGTGGCAGGGGGTTTGGACTACCATGCTGGAGGCGGCGGCGGGGCTGGCGGCGGGCGGAGCGGGTGTGCCGCAGGCGTTGACGCTGAGGTGCGTCCGTCGGTGGTAAAGGTACTTTGTCATGTTGGTGAAGGTTTTGTTGCAGAACTGGCACTTGTGAAAGGGGTTGGCGGTGTGCGACTTCCTGCAAGAAGAACGCGCAAGGGAAGAGATAAGAGCGAGCGGGAGCAAAGAGGACGCCGCCGTGGCGGGGGCTTTACCTGTGCACGAGGAGGGTCATCTCTGTGGTGAAGCCTTGGCCGCAGTCCACGCACAGGTACCGGTTCACGCCCAGGTGGGTGCGCAGGTGGGCCTGCATCGAGCTCTCTTTCTTGAAGACCCTGCCACACTCGGTGCATTCGTGCGTGCCCTGCTCGTGCACGCGCTGGTGCGATTTGAGGCGGTTGGCGGAGATGAACGTGCGGCTGCACAGCGAGCACTGCTGAGGCTCGGACGCTGCCGCGGATTTCTTCTCCACCGTTATGAATTGGTTGGACTGTCTTACGGAGTTGTCCGTCTTGTCCGCCAGTTCCCCGCGCCCTGCGGTTTCCTCAAAGCCGCTCATGAGCCCCCCGTCCGAACTTTCTTTTTCCTGAGCCAGGAAGTGCTCCCCCTGGTGTTGGAGGAAGTCCTCCGGTGTCTGGAAGAGAAGGGAGCATTCGGAGCATTCGTACGGTTGGATGACCACCATCTCAGTCACCGCCTGCTGGGTACCGGCAAGGACTCCGGGGGCCAACGCCAGCACCACTTGGCGGGCGGCGCCGTCCGCCGCGGCGCCTCCTTTTCGCCGTAGCGCCGCGGATGCCGTCTTGCTGGAGCTGTCGGCCAGAGCTTGGGCCGTCAGGATCTGAAGGTGCATGGTGGCCGAGCCGGGGGCGGGTGTCACCGGGGGTAGCAGGGAGGGGCGGGGGGGTGATTTTGAGACAGGGTGGGCTTTCTTTTTTTGCTGCTGTTGGGCAAACACCTGCGACAGATACAGAAAAAAAATATCTTTTGCAAACCCTCATCTGTCATTCATGGGTGAGAGTGGATGGAAAATGTAGTTTACAACACTCACAAGGAGCTACTGTAGGCCAAATCTCACACCCAGGCGCTTACCGACCTGACTCCAGCCCCTGGTGTCACTTAGTAGGCCACGCCCCATAAAGGCACACATTTGACACATCATCAATGCAGTACGTGCAGCAGTTACACTTTTTAGTCGGGTCACTGGAGTGGCTGTGACATCACAGTGGGGTATCTTCCACAATATCCACCCCGAAGAATTTTCTCCCCATGACGTGATCAGCTACACTTGGTGAAAATTCAGAGCCACTTTGAAGCAAGCGGGGACTGCACAGTCGAAATACGATCATGCCGAAACATCCTCATCCCACGCAGGTGCGACGCCCTCTCCATCATGTCAAAGGCAACAGGAAAGCAAACCTGCATTGGGTTTTGCTGGACGCACGGATTAACGGTAGCTTCTGATAAGTGGCAAAAACTTGATTCCTCTGTGAAATTGTCAAACTGCCCCCCCCCCCCAAAAAAAAATACTGCAGTAGTGGTGGGGGAGAAGCATAATCAATCTTGGCCAAGGGTGTTCAAAGTCAAGTACCTGTGCCAAAATCTCCCCAGCCTGCCGCTCACTCAGCACAAAGTTCTGCGTGTTGGTGACGGGAGCCAGAGTGCCATCTGCTTGGAGCACGTACTCCTGTGGCTGGAAATCACACGCTCGTTCGTTACCTTGGCTTTTGAAATGGATTGTTAAACGAACTCTTCTTTTCTGGTCTCTTACCGTCATTGCTGCATGGGTGCTCGTGGTGCTGCTATTGTGGCTTTTGCGGTGTTGTAGCCATGTGTCGGGTGAGTCAAACAGGGCCAGACAGTCGAGACACTGGTACTGGACCGCTTGGGGTTCCTGGGAACCCGATTCTTCGGGCACCGTCGCCTCACACAACTCTGAGAAGGGAACGCACAAATCTTAAGACTGACAAATTTGAAAGTACGACTGTTTGGAAGAACTTTCCTTCTTCAATTGCGACTATTTGTGTTTTACGGTAACTCTTCAAACTATATTTAAATATATCTGAAAGGAATCATTCAACTCATTCCCAACTCAACGATATAGTTTTCTAGGAGGATGGGGAATGACTCAATGATTCAACAAAGACATCATGTGACAAAATGTCGAACCTTGTTGCGCGGCCTCCACCCCGGCCACCTGCATGTGCATCTCCTGGTGCAGCAGGAGCTCCTCTGAATCGACGAGGATCGCGCCACACTCCAGGCACTGATACTGCTCACAGCGGGCTGCCTGGCCCGCTTCGCCTTCCTGGTTCGTATGAATCTCCTGGTGGATCAGCACATCCTCCAGGGTGCTGAAAAGCTGGCAGCACTCGCTACACATGAACTGATGGTCCACACAGACATCCTCGGGCTGCTCCACCTCAATGTAGACACTCTCCGCTTCCATGACGTCAGTAGCTCTGCTTATAATGAATGGATCTGGGGCAAGATAAAATGGCACCTGTGAACACGTATCGAAGAAAGAGGCTATTTAAGAAAAAAATGAGATCCCTATTGAGTTTCTGCCCACCCATCAAGTGTGAAATTAAACAACCTCAAACTTAAATAATTCAAATGACAGATGATGGGATGATTACTTTTAAAAAATATTTATAAAGAATACAATAATGATCTAAAGTTTTAAAAAGTGGCTTTTTTTTCCTATTTAATTTTGGCACTCCTGTTTGTCTTTATCAAGCACAATACTACAGAGCACTACTTTTATTCATAAAACATTTTTTGTTGGGTGTCTTTGGCAGGCTAGAACGAATTAATGGCATTTCCACTTAGTTCAATGGGGAAAGATGATGCGCCGATGTTCCAAAAAACGCGTGGAGTGATTTTAATGTTTATTACTTGGCGCAAATGAAATTGAGTCTGCAGGATTTCACCGGCAAAATGCCACCATCAAAGACAACATGTTTCGACGTAACAATTATCAAACAAGACGGCCCTTGCTGTTAGCTTGGTTGCGGCCACTGGCTGCAATGGAAAATTTCCACCACAATAACGTTTATTAACAGCTTCCCTTGTGTATTATGCGTGCGATGGCGTGTGGAGGGCGGTTGGAGGCGCTCCCTCGGCCAGTGAGGACCAGTTTTCAGCACCGCTATTTCCTGACGGCGGTTGCCCGGTTCGCCAGGCGGTCCGTCAGGCGGCGCTAGCCACTTTTCGCCGGAGCTCTCCAGGCGAAAGGCGGTAGGGGCCCTTCTTTTTTTTCACTCCCTTTACCTCATTTACTGTCGTCGGACGGCATCGTTCGTAGACATCACCGCACGTCACTCGTACGTCCCGCACGCTCAGCCCCGCCAAGGCTCCTCCACCGCCGTCTTGAGCACGGAAACCACAGATTGTGGTGGTTATTGAACGACAATGCTGTTTTACGGCGTGTGCGAAGACGTTAACCCACTGTTTGCCTCCATTTTTGTGAAGCTAAGCCCCGCCCAATATGCGGTGTGCGCAAAACCTTGAAACCGGATTGGACGGTGTCGTTATCATTCACAGGGTGAGCTATGCATGGTAGGTATTGTAGTTTTAGCGTACCGCTGATTAGGCACGGATTGATTTGTTTAAGAAAATGATTTTGCGGAATTCTTCATATACTTTGGTCAATTTATATTTGATAGGGGTATTTTATTTTATTTTAGTTTGGCATTGACGACCCCGTTGAAATTAATTTGCCTCGGTGTGCGCTATGCATGTGTGAAAGTTAGCCCCGCCCAATATCCGCTGTCACACGACGCGCTATGCGTGGTGGGTATGGTAGTTTTAGCCCACCGATACTGATTTGCGCCGAGTAATTTGTTTAGAAAAATATTTTACGGAATTCTTCATACACTTTGGTAAATTTACGTTTGCTGGATTGTTATTTTAGTTTGGCGTCTTGCCTCTTTTTTGTGTTTGTGTGTTCAAGTAAGCCCCGCCTGATAGGGCGCTCCTTTTGAACCTTAAATTGGACGTGTTGTTTATCAATCTCACGGCGCTCTTTGTGTGGTGACATTGTAATTTTGCCCAACGATAATCACTTTTATTTGGTTATCTAAAAAACATGCGTTTGTGAAATTTAACTTTCTTGTTGATTATTGGATTCCATTGTTAACGGTTAGTGGTTAGCATGTGTTCAATAGCATATAGCAATATCGCTTGTATTGTGTTTTATGTATTTTATTTTATTGGCTACTATTGCAATGATATTAGATGAGAAACTGAACGTAACCAATTTGCATTCGGAAACATTTTTACGACTACCCCTGGAGTACAGGAATGGTGGAACTCGCTTTCCCATTTCCCTTTGCGAGTGTGACGTCATCGTGCGTCAACTCCCCAGTTTCCCACCATCATCGTTCTACAGTACAGGGGAAGAAAGGGGGAGTCGGGAGTCGGGGTAGAAAGCTGTCTAAGAACGCTGTAAGTGTAGAGCTTTTTTTTCTTATGGTGTATATACATATATATTTAATTAATTCATTTATATTTTGCTCGTACGGGTGACTTGTGTGACTTGGCTGGCTGTCAGTAACGTTCGCCGTTCACTCTGGCTCTAGTTCACACAAATATGAGCGGCAGCGGGCGGCCCAGGACCAGCTCATTCGCCGAGCCTCCCGGAGCTCCCGGAGCCGCTGCAGCCGGGGTCGGATCAGCAGTCGCCGGCGGAAGCTCGACAGGAAAGTCGGGAGCTTCGCAAAACAGCGGAAGCAGCTCGACGAGCTTTGGGAACCTCAAACTACCCCGTAAGTGTCCTTTTTGAAAATGACCACTCGCCGCGTCAGACACTTGGTTCCTAATGATGCCCCTCCTGTGGTTTATTTCAGATGGCGTTGTCGACATTTTGTTTAAATAAAGTCCATCACAGTGGACAAGCTAATTTTAGCTAGCAGGCTCTTGGCTAACTTAGGCTAGCTAGCCAGTTACAACGGTTTTTCTCCCATTATTAAAACTTGTCAATGAGAACCCTTTAACGTCAACTCGACACCTTATACTCACAGTTGTTTTTTTCGGAGAAAACTGTTTTATCTTGTTCTTAATGACTATATCAATTTCGTCCTCTTCATGTCACCCAGGTTTAGCGTTAGCATTAGCGCCCGTGCTAGTCATTTGTCGAAGATAGCGTCCCTTTATCGTTACGGAGCTGAAACTTTTCGAAAATACTTCTTGTAATATTTGTGTCGTACCGTTCGACCAATTGATTGCGGTATATCAGATACTGTAGTAGCATCAACACGGAGCCAACTTCTCAGTGGGCAGACTAACCGAACATGTTAAACTAGCACTCTGTACAAAGTGAGCCAGTTTGTTACCGAAAATCTGTAATTCAATGTTTATCAACCTCACCCACCAAAACCCCAAGAGAAATTCACGTATAGTGGACGCCCCCACCTAATAATGTTTCTCAATCTGTATTAAATCTTAAAGGGACTGTGTGGGGGAAAAAAAATGTTGATTTTTTTTCACTATTAATTATTACAAAAAAACATTAATAATTTCAACAATGTGCAAAAAAATATATTCTATCGCATCAACCTAAATGTTTATGTAATTGTAGGTGAATTAATCGCTTATTATATTATATAGGGTGTGCCTCCCCTACAGGAAGCTGCCATGTCTCGCCGACATCTTTATGCTACAGATACCTAAAGGAGATGAACTTGGCAAAGGTAGTTCCACAACATGATGGACTACAGCATGTGTAAGAAATGCCATGCACTTATTCCGTCACTTGAGGGAATAAATGAAATTGTTTGGGAATACATTTTGCTTGAACCTCTGTTTAAGAATTTTGTGGTAGGCTTGCAAATTGTGGTCTCCCTGGCACCGTCGTGCGTGTGCTTTAAAATGCACACGCTTCGATTTTATGTCACTGCATTCTATTCGTCCAGCATGAGATGATACTAAATTCTACACACTTTACCTTTTAATAAGTAACAATTTGAATCATTAATATAGCAATGTGACAAGAGTTCCCCAAAATGACAGTTTCTCAGAATGTTGAGTCGGGTTTGAATGGTCACTGAAGAAAAATATCCAACAGAGAGCTTGGACAGGCCGAAATTCCGAGGTGTTCTCCAAGTGTCAAAATTCCTGTGACGTTTCGGATGGCGTCACTTGCCTGAAAAAAAAGAACATTATTCATGAGAGGATGTATTTGCCGATATATTTATGTGTTATTTGCCTCAGTGATGCATTATGTGCTCATATTTTAATCACATATATAGTGTTCACCCACTATATTGCCACCCATCGTGTGTGTACATCACTGAGCGCACATTGACGGTGTCTGTCCGATCTGTACGTTTAGACTGCCCTCACGTTGGTAGACATCCCATACCTTTCTCGGATCCGTGCCCCCCAATTTATGCTGCCACTACTACACATATCCCAAATGTGCCACTTGAAGCCCATAGTGTAAATCCAAGCTTTCATATTTTTTTCTTCTTCTTAATGTAACTGCTGTGTTGGAAGCGAAAAACATATTCGCTCCTCTTCTGTTGCATTCGTTATTAAAGAGGCGACCGTGACACAGCTGCTCCATATTTAAAGACCTTTCTCTTTGACTTCACTTGGAGCACAAGTGATGCAGTGGAACGTTTTAAGGGTGATCGCAATCCGTTACGTTGTAACCATTTTTCCACCGCTGCGACTCTTCAGTGATGGCATCATACAAAATTAGAAATCTCAAGAAAGAATACAGATACAATTGAGTGGAGTTAACCCTTTACAGCGATATCCCCTGTTTATATGTTTCAGGCCTACCCACAATGGCTCAAAATCTGCAGAACAGAAATAGGAAGAAAATACTGTATTTTCTAGATAGTTTTACCACTCCCACATGCTCTAAACTCATGTAAATATATTAAAATCCACTTAAACACGTTTTTAAAAAATTCTAAGTATTCCTTTCAGCCCCTGCTGCAACTTTTCTTTGTCAGCCAATGGGAGAGTAGCGTATATCATCACTTTGAAGAGAAGAAAAGACTCGCTCGCAGCTTCTCTTCCAGTCGACCTCTGTGTTGCCTGGCATGTTGCGTCACAACGTGAGAAGGCGCGCAACTATAACTTTGCTGTTTGCTGTAAAAAGCCTTAAAGAGAATCACACAAAAATCTGATGAGAGTGGGGCTGTGAATGATATCGCAAGGGTTCACTGTCAGTGGTCACTGACCTGAACTCTGTCTTTCTTGCTCGCTCTCTCCTAAATCTCAATTATCTTTGATGCTTTGTGTGTTTGTTGCGGAACATTCCAGATTGCACGATGTAAGAGGCGGTAATGGGTATTCACTCCTATTTCTGAGGCTTACTTGACTGAGTGTCAAATAAGTCTGAAAACAGTTTAACTGGGGCAGAATAAAACTTGAAAATAAGGACGCGGTGGATCACACTAAAACGTTCATGACCGTGCAGAGGGACTGTCGTGAATGAAACCGGATTGTACTGAACAGTCGCGGCAGGTGTCCGAACTGCTTTCCCCCACTGCAAGAAGTTCCACTTCCTGCTTTACGGTTGCTGCTGTTATGTATCGTTGACGACCTTTTATATTCCACTCTATGTAATTTTATATCCTGATGACTGTATGTGTCCTGATATGGGTGGATCTCAGGAAAACATGGTCCAGGAGTCTGACATGGAACCAAAGCTGAACTTGTTCAAATGATATCGGCTTTAAATCAAACCTTCCTGCAGTTTGCTATGAAGAAATAAAGATCGTTCACTTAGCACTTTGTACGCAGAAGTTTGTAGAATGCCGCGTTCTACTCTGGTACGTCTTATGGTTGTTTGAAGGATAGAACACTTGAGCACTCAAGTACCAAATTGTTTGTACACTTCAACAGCGTCTCGACCTTGATGCAAACATATTAAGTTGGAAAACTGGTACAAATGACCAGTGGCCCATAAAAAAGTAAGTACCGGTATAAAATTCATTCAATTGGCCTTGATTCCGGTGCATAAAAATTCCTAATTGAGATGCGATGGAACTGTGAAAATGTCAGTCGGTAGAGATCTGATGTAAGACAAGGAGAGAGATGGGTCGAATTATGCTGCAATCAACACAATCGCGTCCGTATTTCTTGTGTGATGTTGACGCAGTGCTGTCTTTGCTAGATTTGTCTGCCTGGTGCGGAACCATTTGCCGGCTCACTCCATTTTGAGGCACGATGGTGATCCGGAGGGGTCCTGTTGAGACGTGCAAAGGGAAGAAGCCCTGGGAAAAATGGAGTAGCACTTCAGGGTGTGCTGCTGCACATTTTTTTTTTTTTTTTAAATCACAGCGCTCTGACAAAAGTGCTTTGGGGGCGGGCCTCTGTCTCGCTCACTCCTTCCCCAATGTCACCGTTCGTGGTGTTGATTCATCAAATCGCTCTCGACCCGAACTGTCGCACCATAACCGGACCTCCCCCCCCCCACGCCTGTCTAACTATAACTAGCTCTGTCAGTTATTGTTTGATCTCAAGGGCCAATGTTTTTTGTTTTTTTTTCCCTGAGTCAAACATCAGCCCGGCAATTTCATTGTTTGACCAATTTCAAGACACACATCTTGTGCTTGCCGAGAAAGTACATCACCTCCTTGCATGTAATCTGATCCTGGATTACGCCAGGTCAACCTGTGGACCACACGTGGCTTGCGTGGGGTTGAGTCGAACAGGAACACGTTGGAAGTGTGTTGAACTGTGATGGACTGTTTTTTATGGACATTTGAACATAGAGGCAACACTCGCTCATCATGGGGATATGATCCAGGACACTCACTCAAAAGTCAGATATTTATTTATTTTTTCAAGACTAACACCTTTTTGACAAAACAAAAACATGACATGAAATCCCCTTTCCATTTTTTCCCCTCTGCTGTAAAGTTAAACAAATACTCAAGGATAAAGAAAAGTAAAACAGTTAAATGTTTGCCGGGAATGTGTGTCTTAATTCTTGCTGGTATTAAGGTACCAAAAAGTGTTATGTTATTGTTTTTTTTTTTTTCCTTAATAGGTTATTGAAATTTTACCCAATATCTGAATCAGCATCGACACCCCACCCCCCCAAAATCTGTATCGTCAGGCCCTGACTGTAAATGCACTGCATGGCCATTAAAGCGACGATCAGTGCAATAAGAGAGAAACGATTTCAAGGAAGGTGATTGTCAACCTTAAGACTGGTTTGGATGGGAGCCATGTTAGCGTCTGCAAACAGGGCATCTGTAAATGTACAAATTTGCAAGACAGGGTTTTGAACACTGGTTGGGATATTCAGGGTTCTATTTCATTTTCCCCACGGACTGCCAGAGACGATGCCCCCGTGATCATTATTTTTATTCCTGTGTTCTTCTTTTACAGGTGACAGTGGTAAATTGACCACCGTAGTGGCCACGCCGGGCCAAGGGCCCGATCGCCCACAGGAAGTGTCATACACGGACATTAAGGTCATAGGAAATGGCTCCTTTGGCGTGGTCTACCAGGCGCGCCTCATCGACAGCCAGGAGATGGTGGCCATCAAAAAAGTGCTCCAAGACAAACGGTTTAAGGTGAGCATACACAATTTTGTCTGGTAGGGAAGCCATTCACGTGTGACTCTTCGTAAAAACCTTCAATAGAAGAGAGTGGTTGATTGACATTCTTCTGCCTTGTGACTGCTTTGTCTTTTTTTTTTTTGTTTTTTTCGCTTTGTAGAATAGAGAGCTGCAAATTATGCGCAAGTTGGACCATTGCAACATTGTGCGGCTACGTTACTTCTTCTACTCCAGTGGTGAAAAGGTGACTTGCTGCCATTTGAACTTTTTCCCAAGGAAGTGTTTGAAGAAGCATTTTAACATCACTGCCATACGAGTGAATCGCTTTCAATATTAATTCTGTGCAGAAAGATGAAGTCTACCTGAATCTGGTTCTGGACTTTGTCCCCGAGACGGTGTACAGGGTGGCGCGGCACTTCAACAAGGCCAAGACCACCATCCCCATCATTTATGTTAAAGTAAGCAGCGCATTTTCATTGTTTCCCTGCTTCTATTTGTCGCTTCATACAGGAATGCTGCCCAAAAATGAAATTCAGTGGAAAGTCGCAAGTTTCAATCTGGAGGTGGCAAAAAGAAAAGTTTGTTTGCTTCAGGCGACCGAACCAGCGGAAGTTTTCCTGTTTGGCTCTTTAAGGATTACAGAAGCAGCACAGTCGGGAAAGCCACGTGGCTCCCTGTCTGCAAGGTTGTTGGTTTGTGCGTTTATTGTGTGCCGCAGCAGAGAGAACGTTCCCACTGTTTCGTGGCCCACTTCACTCCTTCATTCAGCCTGCGCTTCCCCCAAGGCATTAAGACACACACGTCTTACTCATTTCTTTGCCGACAGAGCTACATTTCTGTCACAGCATGTCTTCGGCTCATCACTCTTTCTCTCCTTGTGCAAGATTGCCCATTTTTAGTCATCTCGTTAATAATCACGTTGTGATGCATCGTGAGGCTCGTAATGATCATGCAGCGATTTGCCGTGCTGAGATGCCACGAAGCAGCCACAAAGCAGTACCTCTGCATTGTGTCAATTTTCACCTTATGAAAAGTAGGAATCTTTTTCTCTTCGGTTTTTTTCCCCTCAACGAAAAGCGTCTGCCTTCATATTTTTTGGCTCCCCCCCAAAATGCATGCATATACTGTAATGACGGTAATGACATGAAAAGCATGTATCTCCAAATATCAAGATCCCCACCTTATTACAGTTACATATTTGTCATTTTTTTGCTCGTTAATACTGTATTTCTCCAATTTTGATTCCTTTTCCATTGTCAAACATGTATGTCCTTTTTTTTTTTTTTTTTTTTTTTTTTTTTTAAAGGACGTTACACACCAACTCTGTTCTTGTTTTTTTATTGCGCTGCAGTCTGCAGCCCACACCGCCCAGCGTTACTGCGCTCGCTGACTCTTGTGACACGGAAGAAATGCCCACGCATGTTTAATACTGTCTTTGGGGAGAAAAGACAGTGATTAACATTTAATCATTCTGTCAAAGTCATTGCACAGCTATAGGAGAGTGTGAGTCACTATTAACCTCAACGCCACCCACATTGGGAAGGCTCAGCCTCGGTTGACACGAGCTTAGGGTAGGCCATGCGCAAGTCAAGACTGCAGCTACAAGCGCACTCAAACCACAAGACGACATACAAATCGGCACGGTGGACATTTGAAGCATTGTGTCCTTCTCACCAGGTGTACATGTACCAGCTGTTCAGGAGCCTGGCCTATATTCATTCCCAGGGCGTGTGTCATAGAGACATCAAGCCCCAAAACCTCTTGGTGGACCCAGAGACAGCCATCCTCAAGCTCTGTGACTTTGGCAGGTTAGTAGCACACGTGACACTCGTTGGACTTCATCATTCTTTCCATTGCCGTATGAGTCAGCTGTCTTGACTGCGCGTGCAAATCAAGTTTTGTATGCCCACTTCTTTTTTTTTTTTTCGTTGTTGAAATTAAATCCCAACAGGATCAAATGATTAACCAAAAGGATCACTTACACAAATGTGTGGCAGTAGCTTGAACTTGCCGAATTGGGAGTCGGTTGGCACTTGTGTTCGAACTGTTGGCATTGAACGGTTGTTCGAAATGTACTCAAGTATAGTTAGTGCTTAACATAGCCTTCATAAAGACACTTTTATAAAGTAGAATCTTGTTTGTATTGGCCGAGTGAAGTTGTAACGAAATAAATTAAAACGTCACTCATTCCCCGCTCCACCAACTTTTTTAAAAAAAAAGCTTATTAAATAAAGAAAAACAGCACTGCATTCTATAAAAATGGAAAGGTAATAAAAGTGAATGTAAAGAAATACGCAGGCTTTCTAAAGTGTAATTACTGTTCATTGCGACAAGCTGAGTCTCAGTCGTCCTCCCTCAATGGTTGTCTGTGTCCTGTCCTTCGTCCCCGCAGCGCCAAGCAGTTGGTCCGAGGTGAGCCCAACGTGTCGTATATCTGCTCGCGGTACTACCGCGCCCCGGAGCTCATCTTCGGCGCCACCGACTACACGTCCAACATCGACATCTGGTCGGCCGGCTGCGTGCTGGCCGAGCTCCTACTGGGCCAGCCCATCTTCCCGGGGGACAGCGGCGTGGACCAGCTCGTCGAGATCATCAAGGCGAGTACATCGAGGGGATGAGCTCTCGCTCAATCAGACGAGATTCAATCCAAGAGATGAATCGAAAAATGCTGCCATTCCCAAAGAGGATCATTCATAATTGTAACCGATACTTGATTATGAATCTTCTTGTGTCAGGTTCTTGGAACTCCGACAAGGGAGCAGATCCGAGAGATGAACCCCAACTACACAGAGTTCAAATTCCCACAGATTAAAGCTCACCCGTGGACAAAGGTAATTAATTGGTGCTGCTGAATCAATCACTCACTCTGTCTCACGCAACATGACGGCGACTCTCTGCAAAGCGCAGACAACTGCTGTGAAGTGTGAGCGGTTGTCATTTGGACAACTTGGGCACTTCCATGTACCCTATGAAATAATAATAAATATACTTGACTGCTGGGGGGGGGGGGTTATTGGAAACCATTTGTCGAGCAAGTACAATCATTATTCATTCATTCATTTTTTTACATTTGACAGGGTTACACCTTAAGAAGATTGCACACCTGTACTCTGTTGAAGGAAAAACTGTACCATAATGTTTGAATTGTAAGGATATGTGGGGGGTTTGCATTACTCTTAAAATCCGAAATCTTGGAAGTGTTTATTTTTACTCTAGTCATGCACAGTAGCAGTAAAATACGTCCTCATGTCCTTGGCGGACGTCAAAAAAAGTTGACTGCAACTTTCTGTGTTCATCGTGTGTGTGCGCGCCGTTCCGATCAGGTGTTCAAGCCCCGCACACCGCCGGAGGCCATCGCCCTGTGCTCGCGACTGCTGGAATACACGCCGGTCACCCGTCTTTCTCCGCTGGAGGCCTGCGCGCACGCCTTCTTTGATGAGCTGCGCCAGCCCAACACCCGCCTGCCTAGCGGGCGGGAACTGCCGCTTCTCTTCAACTTCAGCCCCGTCGGTCAGTTCCCGTGCGCGCACAACAGCCAGTGAAACCCGATGGAGTGTTTTTCATGCGCCTTGTGCCGTGTCCCGTGTCTCCTCAGAGCTGTCCATCCAGCCGCAGTTGAATTCAACACTCATTCCTCCTCACGCTCGTGCACAGACAACGGCTGCCTCACATGGTATGTGCAGGAACATATACACACCCTACACATAACACGACAAACTTTTTGCAATTGTGTCATTTTTCTTTTCCCCCCTAATATGTTAACGGCAATTTTATTTGATTAATTTCAGTATTTTCTATGAATACCATAAAATTATTTAGGTTTTTTTCCGAAATTTTCATTTAAACAAAATTGAAAGCCTCAATTTATTTTTCTCCATTAAAAAAAAAAATCTTAAAACGGCCTGAAGTCTTTGCCCTACTTTTTTCATTCTATAATTATTTAAAATTTACCTCAAAATATTTCCCATAAATCCCCTGATTTAAAAATCCATTTTTTAATTCCAAAATGAATTTAAGACAGCAATTTTTTTTCACAATTTTTATTGAATTTTAATTAAAATAACCCTCATGCTCCATGTTATTTAAATTTTTTCAATATGTATTATAACATATAATTCAAATGACAATGTTGTAATAAATACCCCCCACAAAAAAAAAAATCATTAAATAGTTGATTTGATGCAGAAAACACACAGTTGCTGTCCCAACTGTGTTTTTCTGGTTTTCACACACACACACTCCTTTTGGAGATTCTGTATGTGACCTTTTTGTCATGTAGTGTTGTAATTTACATCAGCCTCCGGTTACATGCACATTAAAAAAACTAACCAACCCCCCAAAAACAAAAAAAAAAAAAAACTGCCAAATGTGTAATTTCTTTGTCACTCTGCAGATGGCAGTACATCAGACAGTACCGCCCAGCCCGGCACAGTGCCCGGCTCCATCAACAACAGTACCTGAACAGCCAACAACACCCTTTTTCTTTCTCTTCCTACTCTCCTCTTCTTCCTCGCAACACTTAGAAAGAGACAAAGAGGCTATACACAAACGTCATGCATTGCTGTCTCCCCCCACACCCACCTCATAGGCTTATTATATATATATGATGACGACTTTATAAGTCCAGGTTCTGTGGGATGTATGGGGTTGTACATGCATTGTCTGTGTCATGGACTTTTTTATCTCTTCTTTTTTTCTTATTTTAATTTTTTTGTTTTTAACTTTGGTTTTATTTTAGCTCATTTTATGTGGAGTGGCCATTTGGCTTTTGGAGACTGACAGTCATGTCCCCCTCCCCAAAAATGGTACAAAACGCTCTCTGCCCCTCCAGAGTCTCATTTTGTACCCTAAAACAATAAAGCCCCCCGCCCCCATCCACCCCGGCTGATTGTATCATTTTTAGAAGAGAGCTGATTTAAAATATATGAGACAAAGGAAGCACACTGCAGCAGATTTCTCTTTCCTCCTTTAACTTGCCTTTTTTTAACGTGGGAGTGAGGGGCCTCTGTATAGATGAAAGATCATGCAGGCAGGAAAGTGTTTCAAGAGGCATAACGAACAGCTCCAACCTCTTCATCATCATCATTTTGACTGAGAGCTACTTCCTCCTGAGCGAGCCCTCAACTTCCTGTCTTGGAACTTGAACTTTCATCCCCTTCCCTCCTGGTTCTCCCTCCTCTTCCAAAACACAGCTAATCTGTAAATATTCAGCAACCTTTTATTTTAACGTTTTGTTACTATTGTATTGTTGTTCTTGTAATATTTTTTTTTCTTCAGTAGATGGCGGGTTCAAGCGACCAAACTGTTTTATCCGCTGTCGCAGTCTGTAAATACAGTATTCCCTTTTTTTTTTTTTCCCCCCCCCCCCGCCCCCCTCCGGTCTCTGGTGCTGGAGGGCACAACCACAAAAAAATTGAACAAAAAAAGGCTCGCATCTTATTCTCTCTCCTTCCATTTCTCCTGTCATGACTTCCCTCGCCCGTAGTCGTTGTCTTAACTGTTTTATTTATTGTATTGTGTGTTTGTTTTGGGGAGTGTTTTTTTGTGTATATTATTTCCAAAATGATGTAGTAGTGGGGCAGAAAACTTTGTCACATCCAAGATACTGTACCTCGACTCGGACCGCGAGCCGTCGGGTGGAACGCTTATTGTTTCCATTGAGCCTCAATGTGAACAGAATGTTTCAAGGATTTGTTGCTTGTGTGTATGCGTGCGTATGCGTGTGTGGGGGAGGGCGTACAGAATTTGAGTGTCTGTGTCATAAAAGATGAAAACAGAATCTTTCATTGACTGTCTCCTGTGTCTGACCGTCTCCTGTTCTACTCCACTGTTGTACGACGTGCTGTTTTACTGTTACTTTACTTTTTGTTTTCTTTTTTCTTTTTTTCTTCCGAAACCACCCCCCCACAACGCTCTTATTACAGCCCTTGTCGTTTGTGGAGAGAGCAGCGAAACTGTCGGCTAGAGGGGATGAAGAAGGAAGGGATGGGGGGAGAGAGACTTTTTTTTTTTTGCTATAAATAATTCAACTCATTAATAAAATGATGAAACGGTTGGCGTCTCCGCACGTCTGTGTTTTAATTGCGCTCCGGTAAGCGAGGTGCCGATCATTTCACCGCGTTCCCACTTTTTCGCCGTGGGAACACTGTGAGATGATTGGTGCCTGTGTCTCACGTTGACACACAAAAGGGAATGTCAGGAAAATATGTCAAGGCAATTTGTTCCGAGTTCAACTTTTATGAATTTTCCCGACAAAGCAACATGGTAATATTCTTGATGGGCGTCAACTGAAAATTTAGCCGGGATAGGCTCTCAATCCCATTTCACCAGCAATCCTCAAGCCCTGTTGAAAGTGGATCGATGGGACGAAGTCAATTAGATTCAACCTACATTGAGACGTATCAACGTCCTTGTTTATCTTCTAACTGTTGAGACTTGAACCACAGTTTCAAGAAACTAGTCGTAAAATTACTCAGCCTTTGAAAGTTAATCGGTGTACAAAGAAACTTAAAACTTTTCAACCCTTGGAAATTCGCCAGAAAATTAAGCAAAACCACTCATTTATACAAAGTTATCAATTGTACAATGAAATTCAAGAACAGTCAAAACGACTTGCCCTTAACACGCGGAGATGCAACCGAGAGGGAACTGGAAGCAATGCTGTCACCTGGTGGCCTTTTAGCGGTATTGCTGGCATTACGGTGTGTGCAGTGTTTCCCAACCTTTGTCGAAACAAGGCACAGCTTTTACATTTCAATAAAATCTCACATCGTACCGTCAAAACAAAAAGTGGATTTGCATGTCACTGTAGGTGCATTACTCGTAAATACAATTCGAGACCAATTAAGTAAAATTGGATAATTTTCCCACCGCACGGATTTATCACAACTCGTTGGGAATCACTGGTGTCGTGTGTTTATTGGAACATATTTGGAAAAATTAATGTTCATAATGGATAACAGAATATATCAAAAAGCATACAACCTTGTGTAATCTATATAAACAATTGCATATATATATATATATATATATATGGGTCAAATGTCAAATTCCTGTGCCATTTCAGGAAACTCAAAAGTATTTTTCAGAAGGCCACTTCGCACCAGTGTCATCAAAAACGTTTTAATTGATTCTTACGCCAAATTCAAATTGCTTGATGTGAATTCTGAGTTTCCCTTAGCCGCGGGCTATAGACATACAAATTACAAAAAAATAAATCACTGGTGTTGTGAATCCATAGACTGAAATACAATTTTCCAGGATATTCTAATTTGTTGGAATGCACTTGTAGGTCTTTTAATCATTGATTGAATTTCCCTTTGTTGAAGCGTCATTGATAACCTTGAAAGGCACCGTGTAAGCTGGTGTCCTCCTGCGGTCGCATCAACCCCGTCTCTCCCCCTACCAAGTAAAAAGCTGAAGAAAATGCATAACACTAAAATCGCGTTCGATGCTCACTAAACTGTCCCACCTTTGGGGTGTTTTGACTTTTGAGCTTATGGTTTAGCTGCACAAGCGAGCAGACAATTCTGCACTGCTCTCGGTGAACTTCCCCGCCAATCGAACCTGAGCGTGATTCAGATTTCAGATGCCTTCAGTGCAAGTGGATCTGCCGAAATGGGCCACAGACTGTGAGGCTGCATCACTATCTGAAGTGCATGGATATTTAACTAGTACCAAACTCCCGCGCGCTGTCTCAAGGCAATCATTTTTCATTCACACAGGACTCTTATAGAAAGCAATACTCGCTTTTAATGAAGTCTTGGGCTTTGCAGGATCATTCTCCATCCTTTGTAGGATATTTATAGGCATTGGCAACATGCCTGATTTTTTTTTTTTTTTTAAGCTCCTTTTCAGTGCTTGCCACACTTTGTTCTTTAAAGCCCTGGCCGGTTCTTTGACTCTATTCTTCAACTTCAATTTAAATCAAGCAGGTGTACATGTGAAGGTCTCCGTCAGAAATGTGCTCGGAGTTTGTTTAAAAAGATGCAAGTGCAGCTCCAGTACCGCATCGAGTCCCTATCATCTGATGCACAACTAGGAAAGCCGAGAGGAGCTGAAATAATAGCATCCTTTACCTAAGGCGACCCTCCAACCGAGCCGTGACGACAAATTTAATCCTGGAGCGATTGCACCTAAGGGCAGGTGCTGATGGAATCCTCCTGGAGCTCTAAACTCAAAAGTGACTGCACATGAGGCAGGAAGACTGATGGAACACTCCCGGTGGCTGCACCAGAGAGGGGAGAGGGGCAGGAGGGACTAACTGATAGTCCCTGAGACTGGATGAAGTCTCTCGCAAGATTTCACCTGAGGGTTGGCAGATTGAGATTTGTTGCAAAGTGAGAAACTGATGGAATCCTCTGAGAGGCTGACTGCATTTGAGGCAGGTCAACGAGTCTTCCTGGAGATTGTCTCACAGAATCTGCTTGCGATATGGACTGATAGTCAGTTTTCACCTGAGGATAAGTGGGATAATGAAATACCTCCTGGTGGGTGACTAATGGAATATCACGTTCACGATGACACCAGGGGACGAGCCACCTTGTAGAATTCCTCCTGGAAACTACCCAAGCAGTGCAGACCACTCAAATACTGCACGAGCTGGAACCCGGAAAGAAGAGAGAGATTTGACCCCAGGAGAGCAAGCTGCTGGGGTCCTTGACATTAGTTAAGAAATTTCTTCTAGAACCAATTCATTTCATAAGATGAGGTACCATTGTATCACCTTTGGAGGACAATTTTTCCATCCATCCCGAGAACTGTATCTGGGAAGGAGACAGACGTACGGATTCTCCCCGGTAGTCTGATGGAATCCCCCCAGGAGCGACGACATTGGAGCCTTGGAGGAATGATCAAATACTTCCAAAGACTTTACTTGAGGAAGGCAGTCTGAGGCTATCGTTCTTGAAACCTACAGTAGGAGATCTGGAGAGAATCCCTCCTGGGAAATCGCAGCTAAGAGGAACCGGATTGATATCACAAAGTGACTACCTTCTGAGGAGGACAGCCTCGCCCTCCATCCCGAGACCTACCCCTGGGTGGTTAAAACCTTGCAAAGTCTACACCCAAGGAAAGGTCTCTCGGTTTCCCTCATGAGCACTTCACCAGAGGCCAATCGGACCGATTCTCCAAGAGGCCGCACCTTAAAAGGACAGGCTTGTTATCCTTCTGTTGGAATCCTCCTGGGGACCTGTGTGACCGTGGGCCCCATCTGTAATCCTGCAAATCTCAAATCAATAGAAAATATCCCTCAGTCAGTGTGAGTTGGATTCCCGCCCCGGTCACAGTTTGGTTGAATGATTGCCAGTCGGCCCTCTCACCGAATGGCAACCAAGCCAGGGTAGGCTGCCATTCACCCGCAGTTAGCTGAGATATAACTTCACCTCCTCCACAACCCCAGACAGGTTAAGTGCTAAAATGCGGATTCATGGATCCATATGTATCATGATTGTGGGATGAAAATGTGTTTGGCCCGCTGCCCACACCAAAAAGCAAACCATCGCCTTTGTTAAGGTACACAGTCATATATTTGCTTTGGTGAACAGCAGAAATTCTTGAAAAGGTGCTGACTCCACACTGTATCGTATCACTTCGTCCAAGTTGCTGACGGGATTTGCCTTTTGCCCCCGTCAGGACAGTATTGACTGTCCCTCGCGACTTTACTGACACTTTATATATGCGCGGTGGTTTTATTCAATTTCTCACCAATGTTTCTCGACTAGCCCGACCGACACTTGCCAAATTGGTGACGCAGCGAGCGCGGCCACCTTCCGTTGTGCCGCATTAACTTCGATATTTACAGAGTGGCGAGTCAATCGAAGCGTGCCCTCGGACGCCCTGCCGACCAACCGGAGGACGACCAACTCCTTCCTTCCTACCGGGCTGCTGAACCAGACGTCAAATGGTATTAAAGATCTGGCTCGTGGCCAGATGGGCCATGGCCACCCTCAGTATCCGCCAGCGCACAAAGCGGAATAACCTTGGAGGAAAAAACATTAGCGTGATGAAGCCCCAATGTAGATACGCACTCTCCTTTTGAAGATACCTGACTGACGCTGGCGAGAAAAACCAAACCAGCATTCAGATTTTTTTCCACACCTACGGATGCAAACTCCATCCATACCTGAGTTGAGATTCAAAGACAAGATTCTTGACTTTGTAAAGGGAGAATACCTGATCCACTGTTGCATATTTGTGGCTGAACGGTAATTCATGAATGCGTTGGGCTGCGTGAGGACAAATGTTTAATTGAGCATGTGCATTTAGAAGGAAAAAAAAAACCAGGAGTCAGCAGCGAGTGTGCCAGCGAACACATAAATACTGTATGTTCTTTCTACGAAGGAATGATAATGGTTCACGCGCACCACCAGACTTCATTAAAACCTACTATGCTTTTCCAGTGGAGTCTTGTCTGAATTTCAAATTACGGCCTCGAGGTAGTCTGAGTGTGTGAGAGAAAAGTAATTGGTAGTGCTTAAATATCTATGCTCCCTCAGTGGTGTGAATGCGCGCCGAGCTTTGTTGTTAAAAACTCCCCAGAGAAATGTTAAAGACCAGCGAAGGTCAGAAATATTGTAAAAGCTCTTCTGATTTGCAGCCCCATTAGAAGTCTCTAAAAAGGTTTTTTAAAAAGAAGTCTATTTTGTATTCAGCAGCATTTTTCTTGGTTGAGAAAGAAAAGAGTGCAACTTCATTTCTAAAGCACAAGACACCCCCATTTGAATGACAAAACGGAGAAATAGAAGGTCGGTGTACAAATGGTTTTCATGTTGTCAGGTGGATCGGTTTCAAAAGCCATACTGAACGTCATCAAATATTGTTATTTTTTAATTCAGTCATATTAGCAAGTTTCTCTGAGCAAAAAGAAATTTGGTAGTCATGTCTAACAAGAGTCGACCCACAAAACAGTCTTTAGTAGCACCCCATGTTTTTTTTTTTTTTTTTTTTTTAATTCTGCTGTCGAAGAGTCTGAATAAGCATAGTAAAATTTGGGAGTGATCCCTAACAGGCGAAGACCCAAAAATAAAGTCTCGCATAGCCATGTCTGAAAATGCGCGAGAAGTCTGCCACTTTGGAGCGACTACTTTAGGCTCAGTAGCACTTTGCTCTGTTTTTCTTTTTAATTCAGCCTAGAAGCCAGCTAACTCTGCAACATTAAATTTGATAGTCTTCTTAAAAACACAACTCACAGTTAAATCCACGGTAAATGTCTTGTTTCAAGCAATTCAGTTGGTGCTAGATCATCGCTCGTCTCGTCTAGTGCCCGCCCACTGAATTTGATTGGACAGAACCACACATTTCACGATCCCTCACGGTGCAGAGATCGCAGGTTCGAATACAGGCTCCGGCCTTCCTGTGTGCAGTTTACATGTTCTCCCCGTGTTTGTGTGGGTTTCCTCCCACATTCCGAAAACAAACTTACGGCAATCAATCAGAAAAGTTTTATTGTCAGTATATTACAAGTACAGTACTTGGGAATATTCACATAAAATAAAATATACAGAATATTCGATTTTACGATACATCTTGTGACAATACTTTGTTATATTACCAGTATGTATACATAATATTATATTAGTTTTCAATACATCGCTAACCTATCAATATAATCAACCCTTATTTTCCCCATAACAGTGAACAAATCATATAGTATTTATTACGTAATAATCGAATGTGTACGACTTTCACCAGGGTTAGTGTATGTATTTTTTTCACAAGGATCTGTACTTCTCCCTGCCACCCAAATACAGATAATGGATAGATGGATGCGCACTTCAGGACACAAATGTGAGTACTTCTTCCACCTGGGATAAAATGGAACTTGCACAATCAATGTATGGACAACGCTTCCACCGTAATTTCGCGCGCTCTTCTCCACCAAGTGTCAGTTTCCGCGAACGCCATTGGCGGACTCGCAGCGCTTCCCGAGCAAATCAGCGCGGCGCTTCTTACAACGTTGCCCCAACTGAACTTGTTGTCCTATTTCCCCTTCGAGCCTCGACGTCAAAACGTAACGGCAAGCCTCGGTGAGTTACTCGACGCCTATTCACGTGTAATCGACACTTTTGGGTCTACGCTTCATACCCTCTGTGTTAATAATCGCACATTTCAGCGGGGAGGCGACAGCGATACTTAGCTTTTAGACTATCGCCGCCATTATACCACCGAAGAAGGGCATCCCGCCCTCCGTCTTAAGTATTCTCTTCTTCTTCTCCTTCGCCGACTTCTTCTTCTCCGTTTTCTTCTTCTCCACCTTGATAGTAGAACTTCGACGAGGAAGGAAAAGAGGTCTTGGTTTAAGGGGTTGATTGTGATGGGAGCCGGTTGGGGGGATTCAACATGTCTGAAGACGAAGCAGTTTCGTTAGCTTTGGGAGCTATCTGGCTGCCACGCCGTTAGCTTTTGGTACAGGCCTGGCGGCCATTAAGCTCTACGGTTCGTGTGCACATAGCGTTCAAGGCGGCTACTGCTCTGTTAGCCGTCTAGGTGCTAGCCGACGTCGGACCTATTACCTTTGTTTGAACACCCCCCTCCCTTTTTTTAAACTGGGGGCGAATTTGTCGTTTAGTATACTGGAAGAGGGAAGTGTTGAGCCTATGAAGTGGTGTGTGGATGTTACGTAAAGGCCCACGCACACGGAAAGTTTGGCCGTTTGGCTCTTATCTACAAAATACGTTGACTAAACGAATTTAAGTTAGATTTGGGATAAACTTGCTCACTAATATGGACGAGTCTAGGCTGCTGTTTTGCGTTACTTTAGGGGAGGTATGGGATGAAAGTTAACAGTATATGTACCAAATGAACGAGTGATTCCTAAGCAGAAAGGAACACATTTACCATATGCTACCTATATATTTCTTTGTTCATACACGACACATTATTTTTCCCGAGCTTCATGAAAAGTGGTAATTGAACAGACTAATGTTCAAATCTCTGCCGACTTTATGGGGTTTCCTCTTTCTCATTCAAACAGTTAAAACATTTTATTTAACCAGCAAAAATCGCATTTAGACACATTTATCCTCCTCTGCTCGAGAAGGTGCAGCACAACATGTATACGTCGCAGAAGTAACGGCCATCAATCAATTTTCTGAGCCTCTTATCCTCACAGAGTATACACAAACACAGTGCAATTGCAAACAACAAAAAAACTACTGTCACGAGACTTTCATGCAACCAGTAAGGAGAGTGGTAAATACTGGTCAAATGTACAAAATGCATGCACAAAAAAAAAAACAACAGCAGTCTGGCATATAATGCCTGTCCTTCTCTTTGAAATGACCTGCGAAATGTTCGGCAAGCCCCCCCCCCCCCTTCTCTGTCCATTCTTTTAAGAACTCGTCTTACAACACATTTTTATTCTGTGGCTTTTAACCCAACATTGTTCTTGTGTTCAATGGTGTGTACTGTTTTTTTATGTTATTAATTTCTTGTAACTGTCTTTGTGTGTGTAATTTTTACTCCCTGTGCAGCACTTTGTATGCCTTGGTGGTTATTTTTTTGCTCCATAAATGAATTTAAGTTGTGTAATAAATTAAAGTCAATGTGCAAAGAAAAATGCTACATGGCAGAGCAGAAGCAACTCTTATCAAGAAATCAGACGAATTTTAGTTTTGAACTACGAGATCAGCAAGGCCAGTTGAAGTCGGCTCCATCCATCCATCCTTCCATTTTCTAATCCGCTCATCCTTATGACGGTCGCGGGCGTGCTGGAGCCTACCCCAGCTGTCTTGGGGCAGTAGGCGGTGTACAGCCTGAACTGGTTGCCAGCCAATCATAGGGCACACTTAAACGAACAACCATTCCCGCTCACATACACTCCTAGGGACGATTTAGGGTGCTCCATTAACCTGCCATGCATGTTTTTGAAATGTGGGAGGAAACCGGAGTACCCAGAGAAAACCCACGTCGGCTCGGGGAGAACATGCAAACGAGACACAGGAAAGCCAGAGCCAGAATCAAAGCAACACATACAGCCACACATATAATTGCTTCTTTATCGAAAACTAACCTTTTAATTTTTTTTGTAGCACATCAATCTTTATTGGTTGAATCACAGCTATGTTCTTGTGTACTGCAGGGGGCCATGGAGACTCAGTCGGTGTACATGTGCTTCCCCTGCTACAAGGAGTTCAACACCCTGGAAGAGGTGCTCAAGCACCAGATGACATGCACGGCCGAGGAGGATCAGGCCGATTCGTCCCGCATCGCGCCCGTTGTTGTTCCAGTTCTCCAGACGCAGGTAAGAAATATGCTAGCTTGTTTTGCGGTGGCTGACTGTCCGTGTGTTTGGTACCGGCGCTTCTCGCAGGCATTTACCTGACTTAATCCAACTCTGAATTCCACTCATATCCTGTTGCGGTTCAAGAAACCCTAGAAAAAAAATACGAGAACAACATCGACGCATGGGTCCTGGTTGCTCTGCTGATTAATAATAATAATAAAAATAAAAAATAAAAAAAAACCCTTAGTGGTAGCATTTGGAATCAGCTGAGAACTAAACGCGGAGCTTGTTTACCACAATTTGTAGGCCACGCGGCGGGACCTTTTTGTGCTCAAAATTGATTAGCTCAGCGGGAACTGGGAAGGCTCAACACTTTTCTCACAGAGAGCAGAGATTGGATCGCTGACGATGATGGAAAAGTGGAGTTGTACAGAAAAGGCAATTATGGACCGCCTATCAAGTCATTGCCGTCTATTATAGTTCACCATATTTTGCTTCACAGTATTTTTCCTCTGAGTAAGTAAATGAAATTGTGTTACATCATCATAATGACACATGGAATTGGCAGCATTTAATGACTTATTTTCACATTCCTCCCTGTCACACAGAATGATTAATCCCAATATAATAACATAAAATAAAATTGCTCGAGCTTTTTCTATTGGAGGGCGGGGGCCGAAAGTGACAGACATCATTGCTCGCTGATTTGCTGTTGCTGATGTTTTGCATGATGTTCGACTTAACCTCTGGAGTTTGCCCGCACTATGTCACATGTTTCCAAGCGATCCTTTTTATGGACTTTGAAGTATAGTTAACCCCTGCTGTTTGTGAAGGACAGGGGCCGAGTCCCGCTATGAACCCACGAAAATCTGCAAATATATGTCGCCCCTCCAAAACTGTTTTGCGGGTTCACAGAGATGCCACGAGATGGTTGCAAAGCACTTAGAACGGAAAGGGCCATAATGCATGACCATGATGCTTCTCGCATGTACATAATCATGAAACCCGCGGTGCATAGCCGACAAGCCGAAAAAGCACGCTAGCACAAACTGATGTGTTGCCAGAACTGGGCAAAGAAATAGGCCAACTCGCACTTTTTCCATAAAAGCTTTTCACAAACAGCCAAGATTTCCAGCCATTCACGAAGGATCGATTTCCCCAAAAGACACATGAATTTTGCAAACGCAGAGCCACAAAAACACATCGCTCGGCTCACCGTCATGCCCTTGAGTGTGAGAAAGGAGAGCCGCAATCGCTGATGTACTATTCAGCCTTTATTGAACGCTGGGAGGTGAGGAAAACGCAGCTCACCAAGCTCAAATGTGTGTGAAATGTTTCAAAAAAATGTTTCTACATAGCAAGAAACACGGCTTCACTGTATGGCCCCTTTAAAGGATTGCGACATCTAACTGGTTAAAACCTCTGCCACGTTATCTAAGACTACAAGTGATAATGTACTGGTCTGAAATTGCAGTTAGAAAAGACAAAACCGATCCTTTAAAAAAAAGTTCTCAAGTCTTAAGTGCAGTTTTTTTTTTCTCAGACCATGACCTTGCAAGTGCCGCTTGATCTCATGTCTGGAAAAAGTTTCCATATCGGCGAGATGGCAATCGATGCAGCGGGGCTTCGGTACAGCCGGCCACGGCCGGTAATGAGGTCAGCGAGCAGACTTGACGCCTGAGATGCCCCCTTCACGCGCGTACTATCTGCCCCGGCCGTCTGAAGTGCGCCAGTAATGAACTCTCCAGCTCTGGATGGTGCGGCGGCGTCCTCCATTTTGTCTTTTTTTTATTTATTTATTTATTTATTTATTTATTTTGTATGAAGCAAACAGCTGTGTTAATTTGACGACGGGCAGGTGTATCAAGTTGTGGAAACTGTTCTCTCGCTGTTGTCTTATCCTTGTGAGAATTTGCCAGCCGCACTCACCCTGTTCGATGGAGACGTGAAGCGCCTTCAGCTTTGACACAAGACTGCAGTCCCACTCGATTAGCCGTCATTTGTTTGTTTATGACGTGATGTTGCCGCACAACAGCTGATAAGGTTGTCATTGGATAAAAAAAGAGCATTTACGTTGATGATGCTCACTGCATATAAACATTGGAGAACAGGGAGAACATGCAAACGCCACACAGGAAGGCCGGAATCGAACCCTGCACCTTTCCACTGTGAGGTCAACGCGCTAACCACTGGACCACCGAGCCGCCTCCCAATGTAGACAAAACAAGGAAAGCAAACAGTTGAAGCATGAGGTGCTCCGCTAATTTACGATGTTAAAAGTTCTTTTTAGTTTCAAATGGCTTACCTTCACCACAATCTCGCATCACGTTGAAGCCGAAGGTACGATCCTGGCTAGGTTAATGAGCCTTCAGTTTGCGTTTTAATGGTTACATTTAAGTGTATTGAGTGTAACAAGTGTTGAGAAGGGTCTTTGTTTGGAGTTCGCAACCAAAAGGATCATTTAGGTATAACACATTGTTTTCCTTCTCCCTCATCCACGTGTGTCTGCAGCCATCGCTCACAGAGGAGACCATCGTCCCACAAATCCAAGTGCAGCTGCAGCCACTGCCCGCGCAGCCTGTTGATAATGCAATGCTGGAGACGGACACCGTGGTCCAAGAGGCCGAGCTCAACGAAGATCATCTCCTGGACCAGCCCCGAATCCTTTATCAGTGCGGCGACTGTGAGGAGCTCTTCAAGAGCCTGGACCTGTGGCAGCATCACCGCAAGGAAGGTGCCTGTCTGAGGACCGTCGTCGTGGGCGGGTCGGAGGCCGAGCCGCAGTCCAGTTTTCAGCCCGAGGATCCTCAGCCCGTCGCCGAGGGTGACGCCAGCGACGCCAAGTCCGACCAAACGGACGCTTCGGAAGTCAAGAAGGACGAGCGGCAAGTCGGCGAAACTTCTACAGGCGACGCGTCCGACCAGGCGGCTCCTGAGGTGATCACCTTGTCGTCTGCGCTGGAAGAGTCGTCTCCCAGAAGGAGAGGAGCGCTGAAGAAGCCCAAGCCCGATCCCGTGCTGCTGTGCGTGGACTGCGGCTCCTGTTTCGGCCTGGTTTCCGAATTGGTGGCCCACCGCAAGACGCACGGCTTCGAGGAGGCCCTGCACCACTGCACCGTGTGCGGCGAAAGCTTCCTCAACACCACCCTCTTCCTCTACCACCGCAAGCAACACCGGCAGAAAGGCGAGGGAAGCAGCACGGTGGCCAGCAGCCTGTCGGAGAAAACGTACCCGCAGAGCAGCATGTCGGACGGGCAGGAGCCGGACGGCGCGCCGTCGTCCTCTTCGGCGCAGCCCACCGAGCTCTTCCTATGCCTCCAATGCGGCGGCAGCTTCAACACTGCCGCCGTGCTGGCCGCGCATCGCAAGGGGATGCACGACCTGCACACGCCGCTCCACTCTTGCTCCTACTGCACCGAGACCTTCATGAACACCACCCAATACTTGTACCATCGGAGGCAGCACCGCGTTCTGGAGTGTGGCCCGATAGATGAAGCGGAGACCGGCGACGAGATGGCGTCCCCCGTGGAGGAGGCGCAGAGCTCAAAGCGTCCGCTCCCACTCACCCCCGCCAGCGAGTCGGATGCACCGGCCCCGAAGAGGAGCAGGCCGGTTTATAGGATCATCAGCAAAGGTGAAGTGGACTCCACGCTTACCCATTTTTAACCGATAGTTGAAACCGAAGGAACCAAACAAGTTGACGATAATTGCCACTTCACGAGTACTACGCCCCAATGAGGGTCTTTTTTTCTTTTTTTTTTTTGGCCCAACAATTACATTGAGGTTAAAATTGTTGCCCAACATTATATTCCTCTCTTTAGGAAACAAGGATTCAAGTGGCAAAGAGGAACTTGAGGGCGTCGCGGCAGTGACCGTGGACACGGCAAACCTGCCGCCTCCTGCCAAGCTGCTGCAGGACTGGTCCCGCACCGCTCTGCCCCATGTGTGCCCCTACTGCGGCAAGACCTTCACCAGGCGCGTCTTCCTGCGCACGCATGTCTACAGCCACACCGGAGAAAAGCTCTTCACCTGCAAGGTGTCCATCCAGATCAGTTACCGCGCCACAGTACGGTACAGGCGGAGTACGGTGACATCATTCACGCCTTGTTGCTATCGTGCAGGTGTGTTCCAAGTCCTTCACCAACTCGCAGAGCCTGCTGCGTCACACCATGAGTCATAGCGGAAACAGGCCCTTCTGCTGCGACGTGTGCGGCAAAGACTTCACGCAGGCCGCCACTCTGAAAAGGCACCAGCTCATTCACACGTCGGACCAACCGCGCCGCAAGCGCGGACGCAAACCGGTACCCCTTTTCTGCCTTTTTTATTTATTTATTTTTTTTGGGGAGGGGGGATTGGGGCTTCGGAAAACAAAAGGCTCACTTTAGCCTCTTGAACGTCACGCAAATCTCTAAAATTTCTAGCATCGGTGCCCTTAGCCAAAACACAAACCGGTCCCGTTTGAAAGGCGGTGGTACCTTGACTTCTCTTTTTTGCTTTGTGTTGTGGGCCAACATTTTGGAGCAATCCTTAATTACATTGCCACTTAAGTGATGTATGGAAAAAAAATATGAGTGTTTTATCAGGTTATCGAACAGGACAATACATACAAAATGAAAACACTTGCATGGGCAGCCAAGTCACTCACTAATCACTCACTTGTCCACGCCCTTCAAAGCCACACATCAACCATTCCACACACGGATGTCCTGTAGTATGTATGTGAAAGCGTTTTGGCTTAATTACACTTTGTCGATCCAGCTAAATAATTGACATTCTATTTGTGTATGTTTTATATCGCCATTCTCTTTATTAAAATATGTACTGAAGCAATTGTGGTGTTTTTGAGGGGCTGGAATGCTTTAATGGCACTTGAGTAAGGCACGGAGTCATTAAGTTGGTTGCAGAACAAATTCAACTCGTGAGACGAAGCGCCGCTGTACCGTATTTGCCTCGTTAACATTGCACAAACATTTGCTTCTTTACCCAAATGTAAACCGTTTTCGAGCGTGTGCCTCTCGTGTTATCCCTCTGATTTGCTCATTCCGACTCTCTTCTCCCACCACTATGCGCACTCTGTTTATTCATTACACAATACCAAAAAACATTTTTAGCTGATCAATTGATGGACGATAGAAGAATTGATCAAAAATAATTCTATTGTGACAGCCCGACTGTACATTTTCTATTTCATTTTAGCTTCATACAAACTGCGAGGGCCGTAGAAAGGAGGTGGCCCGGGGCTGCGCTTGCTCTTTTGTCAGCCCTGCAATGCATAATTTTTCTTTAGTCACTGAAAGATTCTGTCGCCACTTGTTGCACTTCACTGGTGAAATGAATATTGCGTTGAAGGCTGAGTAGAGAGGTCTGCATAAGACCTTGCTTACTAATCTTTTTTTTTTTTTTTTTTTTTTTTTTTGAACACCTCCTTCACTGTGCCCTTGGCTACAGATGTGTGCTGCAGACGGCGACGGTGGAGAAGGTCTCTTCTCATGCCCCCTCTGTCCTTCACACTTCAACACAGAGGAACAGCTCAACCATCACAAGTAACACATTGCTTTTGTCTCTTTTGTTCTTTTCTATAAATTATTTGGAATATCGGTCGGTGAAACGTGTCTCGCTCTCTGTTTTAGCCTCAGACAAAACATTGGCAACCTAGTCAAATGCGTCTGATTAACACTGGATGAGATTTTCAATAGACTTCTTTCTCTTGGCTGGCTGTGTAGCAGCAGCCGGGCCACTTTGCTGGACCTTGAAGCTTTCTGAACTCACTGTGCCCAGACACAGTCTACGTCCTTGAGTTTTAGCCACGTATGATTGACAGACAGGGCAAGCAAAATTAAGAGGACACGGGGCCAGGACAGGTGACGGACGTCAAAACACCGTCTCCGTCTGTGTGTATTCCATGGCTTTTATGCTACGGGAGCATTGCAGCAATTCTCATTGACCTCGATGAGACTAATTGTAGTTCGAGGACTGGATTTTGACTGCGGTAATGCAATTTTGCGATTGTTTTGATTTACCAAGGGTATGTTTAGGTCGACATGTATCATACGGATTTCATATCTGAGGCATGTCTTTCCATCCACATACATGATCATCAAGGCCTTAATTTTATCTGAGGATTCCAATAAAATGTTTTTTTTTTTTTTTTTTAAATTTTTTTAATCATCAGACTCCTCCACACCAGCAACCCGTTCCCCTGCCCAGATTGTGGAGAGGCTTTCAGCCGCAGGAAGGACCTTGACCTGCACTCACTCATTCATCAAGGTCAGACCC